CTATACAAATACAGGCCATTTACATTGCATTACATTCCTTTTATTTAAAAGACATATTTTCAGAGGGACGGGACTAAAACTCATAGCGACATGAGACCCCTCTCTGTTTCTGGAAATAGTTTCATGCAGTTTGTAAAGTGTTTTCAGGTGTTTGAGTAAGTTAGTTGTGGCACAAACACTAAGATACTTCTTGATTAACATCACTTGAACTAAATAATACGAAGTATTGCCAGATAGATGATATTTTGCTTCGCAGGACAAGCTCTTTGCCTTCTGCTGTGCCAGATATTTGAACTTTCTTGTGCATTTGTCTTTAATTCAGTGTTACTCATCCAGTCAACAATCAGGAAACTTCTAGCTGCACAGTGCAGGGAACAGGCAGGCAAATACTCAGACGCTCATTTAGGGAGCTCTCCGATTCCATTTTCCTTTACGTTCTGTTTGCGGAGCATACATTTTTAGTAGTACTCAATCACAATTATTTAATTGTTAAGAGCTAAAATCGTGTTCAAGATTCAAATTCAATAAAACTGTGCAGCCCTAGTGCATAGCTGAATTCCTTTTTACTGAATATTTAGCTTTAATTTGTTTGCTGTTACATTTTTACTGTCACTGAAATTCCCTTTTTTAGTTATTTTAATTTGATCATTCATTTAATGTTGTTGTACAGCCTTATGTAGTTTATAAATACTTAAAATTATCTGAAAATTAATTGTTAGGGGGAGAAAAAAAAATTCCGATCCTAAATCCACACATCCTCAGATTCATTCAGACAAATGCGTTTTAATAGTCTTTGTGTTTAGCAGACGGTCTACAGATTCAGTTAACTTAAGGTATACACAACGCTGTGTTAAAATTAGAGCAAGTTAATAGCAAGTTAATAACAGGGCAGGCAGAATAAATGATGTTAACTGTAAATTAGCAGTCATCGGGTTAGGTGAGAAAAGCTTTGGAGGTTTGAGGAGGTACTCTACACACAAAGTAAGCAGCTTTCTTGAGCAAGCAAAGCTTAGCAGTGTTTGCGCTGCTGATCAGTAGAGATATTCTCACTCAGTTACAACTCACACATTGAAAACAGTCATCAAGGCCACCGCTTGACAGCACGGTTACAGAGTGATGTGCTCACCTGCTCTGTGGCGTTTCCCTGCATCTAGTGGCTGGGAGATACTCTGTTTGCGCCCCATCATCTTCCCCGCTGTGCCTCCAGGGTAGTGGAATATGACAGAGGCTGAACATAAACCCTCCAGTGCAGCTGCAGACAAAAAAACAACAAAACAACAAAACAAACACACATACACAACACACTCAGATCAGTTTGCACTAATGATTATTTGCTTCAAAGTTTTGAGATCTGCCTGTAAGGCGAGCAAAGGCTATAGTATTTACTCTCGTCAACAACTGTAGTATTAAGTCTGCTTCCTCCCAAACTTACCACCTAGCCAGAGGAAGTTATTAACTCCCCTGAGCAGCTCCACAGCCATGTGGTAGTGGACCAGCGCGTCCTGCAGCATGGCTGCCTGGAGACACAAGTCCCCAACGTGCTTCCTCATCCGTCCCTGACATCGTTTCTTATAATGCCTGAGGGGAAACGAGTAGAAAGAGGAAGGAAAAAAAACTTCTTCAGACAACAGCAGGGTGGATCAAGTGTGTCAATTCAATCTGGAATAAATGTTTCGATTTTTGGCAATTGATTTGTTTGAATACAAAAAACAACTCTGACTTATGCTGTTGTAATTTCCTATGTCAGCAGGGGGTGGGGAGTCTTCTACAATGAGGATATATCAGGAGGGAGAGCAAAAACAAAAGAGAGCAACAAGACAAGGACAGAGTATGAGCTGTCCTCCCACCCCTTGGCCTTTAGCCTTGCACAAGAACACACAGGAGGTAACAACTTTACCAGGACACACAGGGAACTTAGCTGCCTTGTGCAAGACATTTGAGACGTCTGAAAAACAGGAGGTTGAATGAAAACAATATGAGGGATCAGCAGGTGAAGTGAATTCATGGGCAGAATTCTCTTAGGAGTGTCATCTAGAAGCAGGGATATAGAAATCTACAGGAACAGCTATTCTGGGAGAACTGTGTCACACATTTGGGCAGTTTAAATATTCATACAAATGCTCAGCAGGCTGCTTGTGAACAGTTTTCTCTCTGATAATTATTTCTGGTAGGAAACTAGACTGCTTAGTAATAAAAAAAAACATATCAAACTAGATCTGCAGTTATGGAAACTTTCATCTGATTTGTGTCTTAGGAGCTGCTGTGCCAGGCTGGAATGTAGCACATGAGCTCATGAATAAAGAGATGAGATCTGATCTGTGCCATTCAGCCAGACAGATCACAAAACAGCACCTTCTTATTCCCAAATGCTTTCTAAAGCTGGGATGAACTTCAGCAGCAATGACATGTAATGCTCAGGAGACCAAACTATCAGCTCCTCCTTCATCAGTGTCTTCATGTTTCAGTATTAAAAGCACCTTTTTTTAAAATAACTATTTGGTACATTTTTTTATATTTTGCATTATATTTTGTATCCATTTATTTCAGATTTTAAGCCTGGGAAACAAAGAAATCTTGTTTATAATATATATTATCACTTATGACGTAAACAATCGTTAAAAATCAGTGATAAAATGTCATAAATATCATAGTATTTGCAGATACAGAGACACAGGTCAATACTGCTGATATCAGCCATAGCCATAACAGCTAATGGTTTTCACACATACACACTCACACGCAAATGTACAATATTAACATAAAATTACTACCCTGGTATTTACCATCTAAAAAGGCATTTATAAAACCCCAAAAGTACAAGCATTAAATATCAATAAAGAAATAGACTTTTTAATGTTTTGCATTTGTTTTTATTTATATATTAAATTTGAGTTTTTGCCTTCTATTCCGTTAGTTTGCAAGGTGGGTTTGCCTGTTTCAGTTTAGATTTTTGGATTGATAATGTTTCATATTAGTTTAGTTTTTGTTAGTTTTCGCCTTTGTAATCATTATAATATGAAGTTCTTTCTTGTTGTTTTTTTTTTTATCTTTGCACGGCATAGGTTTCAGATGTCTACAAGAGGTATTGCAATACAAACTGCACTTTTGTGAAGGCAGTTCACTCACACACATGTAGACATTCCAAATCTCAGTAAGCAAATGCATCAAAATCCCATCAGTCGGGTTATGTTGACATATTTTACCAAACTGCCAAAAAAGAAAAAGAAAAAAAAATCCTCCATGTTTCTAGTTTATTTTCTCAGCTCCTTGCTGTGTCTGACATACCCTCCCAGAAGCAATAAAAGGGAGTTTGTGGCACAGACATCCTGGGAGAAAGAGAACAGGCAGAGGTAAATCTATTTGTGGATCACAAGCAGATTTGACTTTAGTATCGGTTCAGTGTGACACGCTTGCCATGTTCCAGTATGTTCCAAACATGTTCAAGTTGCTTATCAACTAAATCTGATCATCAGTTATACTTACTAATACTACTGTATATTACCATTACTTTTTATAATAATATAAAATAACAATATATTTAATCATTTAGGATATGGTAATGGTAGATTGTTCTTACACACCTCTTTATCACTTGTTTTTAAATATCATGAAACTGATGAGACACTCCAGCTTTTGATGTAATATATCCTTCAGTTTGCTGCTATGCTGACAGCAGTAAACATGGATGATCCTGGATTAGTTCATTTGTTTTTGCATCACGAGAAAATACTGTTTTTAAGACTGTGCTGAGCAATTTCCATCGAGTGACTCTCATAAGATGCTGATAGCAGCCAGTGCTTTAATTAATTTTGCACAATGTAAAGAGATACAGCTGCAAATAATGAAACAATCTTAAGGTGAGTGATCATTCAATTCATCTATAAATACAAGCACATTGTATAAACTTTGAGACAACACACACTACACGCTTGGTTTTGATCAGCAGGCATCATTCTGCCATTTCTGAAAGATTTTCAAGCATTTCACCAGAAAGAATTCTGTACTTCATCATAATTAAGAGAAAAGGGCATTAATCAGTGCACTTTGAAATAATTGTAAATGTAACTTTGAGAGTCTTTTAACGAGGCCAAAATCAGCAACATAATTGAAGGATGTGTCAAAGTACAATTGAAATAAAGTTTCCCATGATGAATTTTAATACTCTTAAATTTGATAGGTTTTAATTGGATCTTTTGTTAAAAAGGTTTTGCCATTTTCACTGTAATTAGGATCAAACCACACAGGTCTTGCAAATAAAGTCTCGTCTATGTTTCATTACGCCAACACAACTGACTTTTTTTTCTCATTTAGTTTCATTCATTATTGATTTTATATCTATGAATTTCATGGATACATAAACACTGTGGCTACCCTGTTGGTTAAACTTGCAGTCTAGCGCAATCCATGACCCATGAATTCAGACTTCAATAGTTTGACCCCTATGTTTGTTTTCTTTGCCCATCCCATTTGCAAGTATGAAGATGGCTGATTGTTAAATAAGAATGTTTTTTGCAAAGCCTAAAAACAAAAAATGATCTCACTGACAAATAAATTGTTTTAATAACATCTGTGTCCACCATCAGAAGTTTGTATGAGCAACTGGACTGCATTAGATATATTTAAATTTTGGGCTTAAGACATTATATTTGTAAAACATATTAAATCAACCTATGGCTGTGTTTCAACATTATCAATGAACTTGAACTAGCTACTCTCCAGACTTCGGGCTTAAACACATTAAACAAAGAGCTGTAACTTGTCTAGAGTTCTGCCTGTACACTAAGTGGTGTAATTCATTATCAGTGAAGTACCCTGATTCCAGCCAAAAACAAAAAAAGGATTTTTGGAAAAAGGTAAACAGCTTTTCTAGTAATATTCAAGTTTTTTTAAACCAAGATGGAATTGGTGGACATGCTCACCTGGAGGCTTCAAAATAACAGATCACAAACCACCTGGAGATGTCACAACAGCTATGTACACTTTTTATACCATCTATGGTTCTACTTTTAACATTTCCTAGGAAAAACACCACCTAAGTTACTTTTGTGCTTAAATTTGACTTCTCATGTGTCACAACTCTTGCACTGCAACGCTGCTGCTGCTTGGCACTAAAGTCATACTTTGAATTAGGTAGTCTGTCATCAATAACAGTAACTCATTAGAAGAAAAGAATGGAAAATGTCCTTCATTTTGTTTACACACAGAGCCAGGAGGACAGGTATAATGGGAGTAATTAGGATTTCTTGTAAATGGGAAAATACTTAGAAACATGGTTATTTAACTTCTCTTAGAATCAACTGTGAAAGTAGAATTAATCTGTGTGTAACTGGTGAAATTAACAAAAATGTTGTGCTGCTAATTAGTACTTCTGTACATTCAGGATTCATTTTTTTCCCTGTAGAAGAAGGAACTATCTTGCATTTAAAGACTATTTATTCAAAGTGCTCTTACTTTAATTTTGATTATTCAGTTATTCAAAGCCAATAATGTCAACTAAGCCATTTCCACCCAGTTGGTTCATAGACTGAACAATGAGCAGGAGTGATGAGTTTGGTTTGGAGTCATCATCAAATGAACAGCAGCAGTGTTCTTTTGGGCAAAGCTAAAGCTGATGGGATAGATGTGGATTAACTAATGAGTCTAATGTCTCACCTTTTTGCACCCAATAATAAACTCACAGGACAGTATGAAAGAAAAAAAGAAGAAGAAAGACAAATAAAGCAAGGTAAACAAACAAACATGAACACAGCAAAAATCAAAAGACAGATTTTTGACAGGAGAATTTGTGACCAGGTGAGGCTGACATGTTAGAAGCAACCTGACACAGACAACACCACCGACCTGCAAAATAATGTGACTGCGATGACAGAACGACTCACCTGCTGTCCGTGTCTAAACCCACAAAGTCCTTCTTCTCAAAGGGCACGCAGAGCAGGGGGATCTTGTCACCGGATTTATCTGTGGCACGGTCAAGCCGCTTGGACTCCAGGACAATATATATGGACTCCACAAAGTCCTCCACTCTCTTCTCCACATCAGAGCACTCTTCAAAGCTGGGATAGAAGGCCACGTCCGTGCGCTGCTGCTCGGTAATTTCCCCACTCAGCCCAAATACCAGTAACCGCGAGTCATACAGCGTGGAGCTGTACACTTCCTTCTGGCCGTGGAAGCGCTCGGCCGTCTGGGGCCACTCCTTGGGCGTGGCACATGTCGTGATGGAGATGAGGCCCACAACTTTGCGGTGTGTCTGGAAGTCACCCCACTCGTTGTTTTCAGGCAGGTAGTGGTGGCGGTAGCGAATGAGGATGCGCTGGGAGTCCCTGATGTTCACCTGGCTCACGCTGGCAATGCGCTTGTAGATCTTGAAGAACTGATCCTCGGGAACGATGCCAACCGGCTGGACTACCACAAGTACTGTCTGGTGGTCCTCAGCACACTGCATGTAGTCTGGGACGCTCATCTTTACATGTGACTGCATGAGACCGAAAAACAAAAGCATTTAAAAGAGATTATCTTAATTAAATTTACAGTGGCAACAATGACCAGTTAATGTTTCAAACTGAAACATTAACTGGTTCTATCACTAAAAATGCACATTTCCAATATTACAATACTGAACAGCAATTTGGGAAATGCTAGCAAAAAAGAGGGGAGGGGGTTTGTCGCTCATCATCTTTAAAGAAGATGAGGGAAAGAAGAGAGCCAAGATGCCACAAAACAGCTTGTGATGAAGAGAGAAGCTGCTGCTGAAAGTTTTTTTATGTTAAGAAGAAAAAAGAGAGATTGAGAGAGACATGGACAGGGTTGCTCCACACACAGCAACAAGAAACAAGGTGTGTTTTATTCAAGGTGTGACACAAAGTTTGGAAGAACAAGTAAAATGGAGTGTGTTTCACAGTTGTCCTTCATGCTGAAATAATAAAATAAAACTATCAAGATACAGCAAAAGATTTTTTGTACCACAAACTGGCACAGCAGTTCTTAAAAAAAAAAAAAGAAACCAGTGTTGCTAAGCCAGCAAAGCAACACTAAAAGTCTAAAAGACAACTAAAGGATTCATTGGCTTTAAGTGCAATATAGAATTACCTTTAAAATCCTTCATAAACTTGTGAAGTCCAGAAGTCCACAAAGCTCTCAGTTGTTGTAGCCTCCAGTTACTGTGGTCCTCTTCTTTGGGACAAGCTGCCTGCTGACCTGAGATCAATTACATGTGTGCAAATATTTTAAAATACTCAAAACTGTTCTGTTCCCAAAGACTTGCATTCAATAGCTGTGTATGTGTGTGTCTGTGTATAGTACCATTTGTTTATTTTATCTTCTTTGTGACCAAATTGAGTTTATGTATAATGAAATTTGCTATATAAATAAAATAGCCAATTGTCTATATTGCAGATGATGACATAAATATTTCCATGGTTAAGAAAAACAAATTCAGATGATCTAAACAAGTCAAGAACGATCTGGAGTGGGTATCTGTTTTCATGAATGGAAACAGAGAGAGTTTACAACAAGCACTTAGACTTAGGAAGGCCATAGTTTGACAGCAACTTCCAAAAATGTGTTCTTGTCCAACAAACTATGAACCTATACGTATATATCTGCAGTTGAAGAAAAGTGTGTGGTGTTTTGTTTTGTTTTTGTAATTGGATTTCTGACAGTAAAAATATCTAGTTACAAAAAAAATAGACAGCCATGTCTCTTAACCTCCTAGGACCTGGCGTCCACATATGTGGACAAAACATTTTGGGTTATTTAGACCAAAATACTCAATTGTGCTCTCATTATACTGCTACTGTTCTATCGAAATTTTAAACGAATATCCTCATATGTGGCTCTCAATTTTCTTAGAAACAAAAATCAGGTAAAAAAATATATATAAATCTGGTAATTCTTTGTTTTTACATTCATCGGGTCCCAATCAGCCCAAATATCAAAGAGAAATTAAAAATGCATGCTGTGGAAGAGTTCGGGTCTTAGGAGGTTAAAGTGACAAACTAAAGGATGTCTTTTATTAATTAAACTGTAACACAAATCTATGCAGTTTATTAATAGATAGTCTCATACAGATCGTAAACAGGTTTTAAATAAGTTTCTCATGAAAGCCGTTTTATCAAGGGTTAGGAGAACAACACAAATCTGCTGAGTTTAAATGATAAAGTCCTGCTTAGTGTCTCTGCTGTGTAAAGCGACTCATCCAGATCACGAAACGATGACAATAAGGATGCACTTCTGCCGAAAAGCAATATTAACACCTGCTAACACCTGTGATAGAAACAAACACCAAGGAGTTGGAGCTAACATGTGTCAGCTGACACAATTAGCAGGAAAAGAGAGGGGAAAACAAGATATCAGATAAAACAGAAGTCCCGGTTTAATGAGCTTTTCATAAGCTAATATGTCTCTATAAGTTTATGGCTCCCGTTCAACTACATTCTGTCAACACACTGCTTTCAGCTAGCTTAGCTTAGCTAGCTAATCTATGAATGTGTTGCTTACAACGGTCATACAAAAACAGCACTGAGTAATGCGCATATAAGCTTAGTCAAATTAATTTTCTTTTACAGAAGTGCCATTAATACATTTCAAATAACGAATATTCACGTTACCTTAGCAGCTACCTGTCAAATGTTTGAGCTTCCTTCTTTGGCTCAGTACTTAGCGACAACAAATTAACAGCGAAACTTCCGGTGTCGATTTTCAAAATAAACTCTCTAGCTGTTCTAAGGAAATACGAACATCAGTTCATTCAATAGTTATTTTTATACAGTAGATCTTTTGCCACTTTTGCTAGCTTACTGTAACGTGATAGTTTACAATGAACTAACTAGTTTTCAAGTTTCAGATTTTGAGAAGTTGAACAATACAGAAATGTGCGCCGCAATGAAGATATGAAGAAATTATACTCTGAATTTTTATTATTAAAAACCATTCCCAATGCCCATATGGATAATGTTCATGTCATGCTAGCACTTTACCATGTGACCTTGTGGACCAGTTTATTGAGTCTGTTGGCATCCGCGACCCTCAACCTGCTGCCCCAGCATGCAACAGCATAGAGGATGGCACTGGCCACAACAAACTCATAAAAAATCCTGATCATTATCTGATAGATGTTAAAAGATCACAGCCGCCTTAGAAAATAGAAACGACTTCCTTCCTGGCAGTGGCGTTTTTAACCCAGTCCATTTTATTATCAGCGTGAACTCCGTGGTATTTATAGTCCTCCAGAATGTCCACATCGAGCCCCTGGTTTGAAAGAGGGGTCATAGGTTTCCTGGTTCTCCTAAGTCTTCACTCAGTTCTTTGGCCTTTTGGCAAATGAGCCATTGCACTCAAGCGACATCATACTACATACAAACTTCAATGTGAATTTTAATGTTACCAATTTCTCCTTCTTCCTCTTCTCCTCCCTTTAGGAGTTGCCTCTAGTCTCACCCTATCTGTACATAGATCTTCTTTGCTGTCTTCCTTTCTTTCCCTCCTGCCAGCTACATCCTTCTACCTTCTTCTGCACATGTCCAAAGCATTTTAGCTTTACTCCTCTTAGGTTCTCTCTAAATTCCTCTACCTAAACTGTCCCTTTAATAAACTAATTTCTCATCCTGTGTCTCCCAATGGAAATCTTAACATCTGCCACCTCCCCTCCTTTCTATTAGTGCCACTATCTCCAAACCATAAATCATAGCAGGTCAGTCTTGTAAACCTTCTCACTGTCTTAGCTCTCACTCTTCACCTTTCTTATGTGTTGTCCATTTCTTCGAGAATTACCCAAATGCAGCTGGTTATGCATTTAAACTGAGAATAAGAAACTAAGAGTGTCATGCATGAAGATGCCTAAAAATTAATAAAGCACTTATCTGC